TAGTTCCTCTGCTTTCAATCTCTCCATTCCATTTCCCTCTTTATAATTTGCTAATTTCTTCAAAGTAATATAATGCAGTATTTCTCAAACATAAATTCTTTCAATAGGATAGACAAATGTATGGATATTGTTGATCAACTAAAATAGATGCGTTATATAATCCTATCAATAATTTTGCTTAACTAATTATTGGTCATAGTGGTAAATAAAGAATAGTTCTAATTTTAAATTTATCTGTATTATCCAATTTTAATGGACAATTAACAGACCTCAAATTTAGATTAGGTAATGGTGCATATTTAATAAATAATTGATGTTAATGATTGTCTATTATTATTTTTGAATATTGGGTTATTTTTAATTATCATACCTTTATCCTTTGTTTCCTTTCCACTTTTCATTAATTTCAAATTTTTGACTTATCATATTATGTTCACCATAGTAAATGATACAATGTATAAATAATAAACTTAAAATTGATTATTAAATATATTTTTAAATAAATTGTATAAACCTTGAATTAATGGTTTATTTCAATTATAGTAATAAGTTTCTCCTTTATTTTGATTCTCGATGCCCATTTCAACCCAAATACCTTCTTTTTAACCTTTCATATTATATTCACCAATTTAAGTGACAACATTATTCCATATGAAACTTTGATCTAATTCTATCCATTTTCCAATCTTTTTCTAATTTCCTTCATTATCATAAAATCCACTTCCACTACATATATTTTTATGTATGTTCCCCTTTATACTGAGATAATACTTACATTTATTTATATTCCTACTCATCTTTCTTACAATACATAATATCCCATATACCTACCCTCATACCATTCAGATTATATTCACCATTATAAGTGACTTATTTAAAATTAAGAAATTATTCATCCAATTCAACCCACTTTCCAATCTTCTTCTAATTTCCTTCTTAATCATATGATCCACCACCTCTATGAAAAGGATTATTCATTCCACATTAATACTTATATTATATTTACATTTATTAATCTTCTTTCTCATTATATTTACAATACATAATATCCCATCTGCCTATTTTCATGCCATTCATATTATATTAACCACTGTAATTTATGTATTTATAATATCCA